ACTAATCATCAACAACAGCTGCGTTCGAAGAACCCAATTAGCCAGATCCTGATTAGCGCGATGATATCATCTTGGATGTGACATTTCATCTCGGATGTAATAAGTGACATACGAATCACGGGCCCCAGTTCTTTTATTATTAGGCTATTATTATTCGTTTTGTAGCCTGAGTCTGTGTATAATTTGCATAGTTTGATTTAGGCCAAAATAAATAAATAATAAAAAAGTAAACCTATATTAAGCATATATAATTTAGTAGTATTCAACCATTTCTTTTCCATTAATCAGTTAGGTTTTTTGTTTTTTTTTAGGTTGAAATAGACCTAAACTGATCATATCACAATTTGAAAATGCATCAATAATTTCTTTCCAAATCAAACATATTTCGAGTTCTGGAGAGAATGAAAGCAGGGAGTTGCATTTCCTCCAAGTAAGGAAAGAATGAGATAAAGCTTCCGGCAAATCTGGAGAGGAATTGCAAATGCTAATGAACATGCTTAAAGGTCAAATATGTAATGTTTATTTTACAAGTTCAGCACAGTCATTCTGTTCATGTATTTATTTGAATTGCTGTACGTCAGTGCCACGTTACAAGCTTCAAGCATCTAGTTGCTAAAGGTGGTCTAGCATTTAAAAAAAAAAAAACATTCATTCTCAACCAGAAAAAAAAAACAATTTCAGGGCTTTTCAGCATCTTCAAAACAGCGCAACATGCAAATATTCCATCTATCTAGAAGCTCAATGGCTCAAGGGTGATATATAATTTATGGCTTTTTAAAAGCAAAAACAAAAAGTGCATCCAACACAAAAGTTCAATTCCAGTCCGTGATAATGCATTATTTGTCTAAAGAAGTCTTTGTCCTCCTCCTTGCTCCAAACACTAGTTATACTGCAGTTTCCAGGTGCCCTGCCGTCCAGAGCTAATGCTGGGTCCACAGGGCTCATCCTAATGCTCCACAAGGACATTTGTGACATTTCTCCCGTCAATAAATACGACCGCTTCTTTTTCCAACGCTTAGAAGCCATTGCAAAAGATGTGCCCGACCCAAAACCCAACAAGTTTCGTGAGTCTGGGACTCAAGGTTTGTGTGTATTTTCTCAGTACGGCTCTCGATCTGAATCCGATTTGGGGTCATTATCTGGGAGCGTAGTCGTAATTAGTCGGCACGCTCGTTGCAGAGTACATGTTGGCCGTGGCTGGGTTCATGTGAGGATGGTAACCGTGGCTTCTGATGCTCGGTGAGGCATACGGGGACGGCCTGGTTTTGGCTCCCAGATAGTGTTCGTAGGTGGTTGGGTATTTGTATGGATGATGGTGCAGGGTGTCTGGGGGTTGTGGGTGTCCTTCCAGGCGTAGCTCGTGGGGTGGGCTGCGAGGGCCGGCTGTGAGGGGCATGGTGTGCAGGCCGCTAAGGACTGGAAGGGCCGGGCTGAGGACTCGGGACATCAGCTGGTGAGCGGGGTCCGAATGGAGGGGAGTGCCGCTGGGGTCACGGTCGTATTCTCTCCTGCTGTCCTCTGTGTTTGGGACAAAAGAAAGAGAGCACGATTTTAAAGCAATTTTTTCATGCATTGGTCATTTTTAAGGCTGTTTGGCTTTTCGTGACGTTGTTTCAGACTAGTGGAAAGAAAACATCCAAAATTCACTTGCACTCTTAATGCACTCTTATCTATTTGTGTCAATAGATTTCAACTTCAGTATGTATCTTTAAAGGGTTTTTCAGTAGCACCAAAACAGTTGTATTCCTATCTCCTATCTACACTATACAAAAAGTTGTAAATAAAACAAAGATTACGAGTAAATGCAATTTCAGTTTTTCTACTTCAAAAAGCAGTTTCTTTGTAATTGTAAAATGTGACCCTGGACCACAAAAAAGGGTCAATTTTTTGAAATTGAGATTTATGCATCATCTGGAAGCTGAATAAATAAGCTTTCATTGATTATGTATTGCACATAACAATCTGTATTGTTAAAAAAAAGCGCTATATAAATAAAGGTGATGTATGGTTTGTTATGATAGGACAATATTTGGCCGAGATACAACTATTTGAAAATCTGGAATCTGAGGGTGCAAAAAAAATCACTCTTAATGCACTCTTATCTATTTGTGTCAATAGATTTCAATTTCAGTATGTATCTTTAAAGGGTTTTTCAGTAGCACCAAAACAGTTTTATTCCTATCTCCTATCTACACTATACAAAAAGTTGTAAGATTACAAGTAAATACCATTTTAGTTTTTCTAATTCAAAAAGCAGTTTCTTTGTAATTATAATATGTGACCCTGGACCACAAAAAAGGTCAACTTTTTTTTTTAATTGAAATTTATGCATCATCTGAAAGCTGAATAAATAAGCTTTGCATTTTTTCATGGCTGCTGACAGATTTGTGGTGTGACAAACGAGATATATCCAAAATCCCTTTTGTAAAAACATTTAACTATTGTGTGAACAAAATTAGACCATTAAACCATATCTTTCCACTATTCAGATTTCTGTTTTGGGCGTGTATCAAATTATCACATATTTTATGAGATGCAAAAAAAAAAAAAAACATCATGTCTAAGCAATTTAATAAAACTTGTAATAAAAACAATGTTTGCAATTCTAATGTAATCAGTCAACTGGAAACCTATGGTGATTTCCATTAGTTAATTTTTACTCTGTTCACCTGCGGTATCTTGCCTTAAAATGTGGTATGGTGCAAGATATAAGCAGGTGTGAGTCATAGTGGACGTGTTATTTTTAGGATTATTTTGCACAATCGAACCGTTGATTAGAGGCCTGTTTGTGTACAGATAGATGCACCGTTCTGAAAGGCTCTTTACAAATGCCCTGACAATGAGCTCCTGGAGCTGAACTGTAATGAAAAAGCGGTGTAATTTAGTTCGCTTGTGAAGTGAGATGTGCTGTGGTTGATTGGCAGGATAAGACATAAGTGTCCTTCAGCCAAAGAGGCGAATTCGCACAGGAAATCATTTTACACCGAGCGCAGGACTGGACAACCTCAATGTCCTCTGGGCATGCAGCTGTTCAAACCTTTGTGTACTGAAATTTGCAGCGCTCAACTAGACAAATGTAACTGTTTTGCTGAGAAACCAAACAGACTGGAGCCATTGCTCGACTGAAAATCCTAACTGCCTTTATTTGAGCCTGTTGCTCATTTCTAGTAAATTGGCTTTTACACGGTAATCACAGCTGAATACGGTTCAGTGTTTATTATGTGAATGTACATTCCTGCATGCATCTGTTTGATCAGTAATAGGCACACAATAGTATTACCATTTGTCTTGTCATATTGTAGAAATGTTCATTTGTAAACTAAGAATATTGTTTTAAAACACTTTCTTTCATGCTAAATGAGAGTTTGTTAGCTGTGTTTTATATACAGACCTTTCTCTGTGCCGTTCTGCAGTGGGGGAGAGGACATGGGGTTCCTGGTTCGAGCAAACGCACTCATGATTTGCAGAGAGCCCGGCCTATGATTCCTGGGCCTGAAAAACAGGCAAGATAAAATCAGTGACATGCACCGGAATGCATTGTTTTAGTCTGTATGAATGAGTGCTATGTCTGACAGAGTTCTAGCAAAAATAGAATTGTCATTTAGAGCAATAAATCATATTTCTGCTTACTTTAGTCATATATATATATATATGTGTGTGTGTGTGTGTGTGGTATTGTTAAAAAAAAGCGCTATATAAATAAAGGTGATGTATGGTTTGTTATGATAGGACAATATTTGGCCGAGATACAACTATTTGAAAATCTGGAATCTGAGGGTGCAAAAAAAATCACTCTTAATGCACTCTTATCTATTTGTGTCAATAGATTTCAATTTCAGTATGTATCTTTAAAGGGTTTTTCAGTAGCACCAAAACAGTTTTATTCCTATCTCCTATCTACACTATACAAAAAGTTGTAAGATTACAAGTAAATACCATTTTAGTTTTTCTAATTCAAAAAGCAGTTTCTTTGTAATTATAATATGTGACCCTGGACCACAAAAAAGGTCAACTTTTTTTTTTAATTGAGATTTATGCATCATCTGAAAGCTGACTAAATAAGCTTTGCATTTTTTCATGGCTGCTGACAGATTTGTGGTGTGACAAACGAGATATATCCAAAATCCCTTTTGTAAAAACATTTAACTATTGTGTGAACAAAATTAGACCATTAAACCATATCTTTCCACTATTCAGATTTCTGTTTTGGGCGTGTATCAAATTATCACATATTTTATGAGATGCAAAAAAAAAAAAAAACATCATGTCTAAGCAATTTAATAAAACTTGTAATAAAAACAATGTTTGCAATTCTTAATGTAATCAGTCAACTGGAAACCTATGCTGATTTCCATTAGTTAAATTTTACTCTATTCACCTGCGGTATCTTGCCTTAAAATGTGGTATGGTGCAATATATAAGCAGGTGTGAGTCATAGTGGACGTGTTATTTTTAGGATTATTTTGCACAATCGAACCGTTGATTAGAGGCCTGTTTGTGTACAGATAGATGCACCGTTCTGAAAGGCTCTTTACAAATGCCCTGACAATGAGCTCCTGGAGCTGAACTGTAATGAAAAAGCGGTGTAATTTAGTTCGCTTGTGAAGTGAGATGTGCTGTGGTTGATTGGCAGGATAAGACATAAGTGTCCTTCAGCCAAAGAGGCGAATTCGCACAGGAAATCATTTTACACCGAGCGCAGGACTGGACAACCTCAATGTCCTCTGGGCATGCAGCTGTTCAAACCTTTGTGTACTGAAATTTGCAGCGCTCAACTAGACAAATGCAACTGTTTTGCTGAGAAACCAAACAGACTGGAGCCATTGCTCGACTGAAAATCCTAACTGCCTTTATTTGAGCCTGTTGCTCATTTCTAGTAAATTGGCTTTTACACGGTAATCACAGCTGAATACGGTTCAGTGTTTATTATGTGAATGTACATTCCTGCATGCATCTGTTTGATCAGTAATAGGCACACAATAGTATTACCATTTGTCTTGTCATATTGTAGAAATGTTCATTTGTAAACTAAGAATATTGTTTTAAAACACTTTCTTTCATGCTAAATGAGAGTTTGTTAGCTGTGTTTTATATACAGACCTTTCTCTGTGCCGTTCTGCAGTGGGGGAGAGGACATGGGGTTCCTGGTTCGAGCAAACGCACTCATGATTTGCAGAGAGCCCGGCCTATGATTCCTGGGCCTGAAAAACAGGCAAGATAAAATCAGTGACATGCACCGGAATGCATTGTTTTAGTCTGTATGAATGAGTGCTATGTCTGACAGAGTTCTAGCAAAAATAGAATTGTCATTTAGAGCAATAAATCATATTTCTGCTTACTTTAGTCATATATATATATATATGTGTGTGTGTGTGTGTGTGAGAGCGTGAGCGAGTGTGAGTGTGTGTGTGTGTGTGTGAGTGTACCTGTTTTTCTATTCTGGTGGGGACTTAAACCTGAATACACACAGACTCATGGGGACTCGTGTCACGGTGGGGACCTAAATTGAGGTCCCCACGGGTAAACAAGCTAATAAATCACACAGAATTAA